AGTGGGGGACTGAGCAGTGGATAGCTTGACATGAGGGTCCATGGGAGTAGAGACGGGCTTCAAATCATCAAGATGGAAGCGGCGGATGATGGACTCGATGTAGGCACGTTGAGAAAGGGACAAGGTCCGCTTTTGGTGGTCCCAGGTAACTTCGATGCCAAGTAGCCAGTGAATTGGGCCGAGATCAATGACTTCAACTCTGGTCCCGATTTTCTCCTTGACTTCTGCAATCAGTCGCATCGTCGTTGCGGCAATGGTGCAGTCATCAACGTGCACAGCAATGACAATGATATCCCTTTCCTCTTGTCTGTAAAAGACTGCCTGATCCACACTGCACCGCTTCAACCTCAAAGTCTCCCAACAAATGGCTGTGAAGGCTTCATACCAACGACGGCTGCTCTGCTTCAACCCATAGATCGTTTTGTGTAGGTGGAGGACTTTGCCAGTAGCATCAGGAAGAGAAAAACCAGGAGGCTGACGCATATAGATCCTTTCATCCTCAGTGAGTGTGCCATTCAGATATGCTCCTTTGATGTCTATCTGATGGATTTTGAGATTGAGGCGAGCAGCAAGCACAAGAATTGTTCAGATTGACTGCAGCTTTGCAACTGGAGCATAAGTGTCGAAATAGTCGACACCTTCAACCTGAGAATAGCCCTGGGCAACGAGCCTTGCTTTGTAGTGCACAACTCTTCCTAACGTGTCCTTTTTTAGCCGAAAAACCCACTTTGAGCCTACAACATTTGCTCCCTCTGGCTTCTCGACAATCTCCCAAGTCCCAGCACTCACCAGCATGTCAATCTCCTCATGTATAGCCTCAACCCAGCTAGCCCAGTCAGGACGATGCTTCGCTTCTGCCAATGACAATGGATCAAGACCCAGTGCTTCACTGGAATCTGCAACCATCGTGTACTCAACCTTGCCCTCAACTTCCTCCTCAACCTCATCAACAACTGCTAGATTTGCCACATTACAAAGGGGTTGGACGGGGTGTAATTCCCGATTTTTGTACTGCATAGGACAGGCAGCATGAGGGAGGTTTCTTCTTGACTCAGGCTGGGCCTGGTCAGTCAGAGGTGGTTCGGGATCACTGTCATCAGCTTGGGTGGACGTAACAGGTGTGTTTGGTGGATTTTTTGGAGTAGGAGGCAACTTGACTGACTCTTCTTCATCCTCCCCCTCAAGTTCCTCTATGACAGCATCATTTGGCACACCATCCACCTGCACAACTACTTTGGGTTTCCAAAACACCACACTTTGCTCAACTGTCACCCTATGTTCGCCTGGCCAATAAATCCTAGAGCCCTTGCTCTCATCATCAACTCCAATCCACCTCGCCTCCTTTGCCTGTGGGTCCAATTTTGATTGATTTGGTGTCGCCTGGTGAACATAGCAAACACAGCCCCACTCGTGGACATTGGATAAATCAGGCTTCTCCCCAGTAAGCATCTCGTATGGCGTCTTTCCATCTGGCAAGGCTTTAGTTGTTGTTCTGTTCTTCAGCCAAACGACATGACAAAGAGCCTCCCCCCATAAAAATTTTGGCAACCCGCTCGCATGAAGCAAAGCTCGTGTCCGTTCAAGTCCAATTCCATTGAAACGTTCTGCAACTCCGTTCTCCTCGGGGGTATCGTGCACAGTACGTTTTGATTCTGTACCATGATTTTCAAGATGATTGATGAATTCTTTACTCAGATATTCACCACCCCGGTCAGAATGAAGTGACCCGATATCCACCTTTGCATGGGTCTTCACCCAGGCCTCGTACTTCTTGTAGGCACTGAATGACTCGGATTTTTTGCGAAGCAGATAGATACGGGTAAGACGGGAGCAATCATCAATGAAGCTGATGAAATATTTCCGCCCATTGATTGTTTCAATGCGTGAAGGTCCCCAGACATCGGAATGGATTTCCTTGCCGAAGGTAGATGCACCACCACCTTGGCGGACCTTGGGAATGGACTGACGCTTGCTTTTGGCATAGATACATGCCTCACAGAAGAAGGGGTCGCCAGAAGGGGATTTACGAAGCTCAAGACCAGTGACAAAGCCATGAGTAACGAAACGCCTAGCGGCAGTGGGGGACATGTGTCCCAGGTAGCGGTGGAGTTCAGCCTCGGTGAGTTTGACAGGTGATGCTGCATTCACCATGCCCTTTTCACCTGACTCACAAAAACACGATATAGGCCCTTTTGAGAGAGTGGGATGGAACCGATGTGATTACCATCTGGGTCCTTGATACTGCACATCCCTTGACCGAAAGTCAGGGTGTACCCAGCTTGATCAAGACGACCAACTGAGATGAGGGTGTACCCAATCTCCGGGGAGTATAGCACCTCTGTGAGATGCATCTTCGACATGTCAGTTCCATCTGGAATGTCAACCCATATCTCCCCTTGCCCAACAGCCGTAAAATCCTGGTTGTTTGCGGCAGTGAAACACTTTGGTGGAATTTCCTGGTAAGTCTGAAATTCGTCGCGGTATGGGGATAGGTGCTGACTACAGCCGGAATCATAGAGTTCGGCACGGATTGAAGAATTCGGAATGTTGGCAGGTCCAGCTGCACATGCGGCATCTTCATCTTCCTCCTCAGCACTTTCATCCTCATTGTCCCACTCATCCTCGCTGTCCGACACGGACTCAAGGTCAGGAAGCTCAGAGCACTCTGAATCCGAGTCAAACATGCTCTCCTCCTTGCTATCGGAGACTTCCTCGAGGCCTGGTAAGGACTCATTGTCACTCCCATCAAAATCGGAAGCTGACAACAGATTCAACTCAGGAATCTCATCCCATGCATCATCAAACAACGATGATACATCAAAAATTGTGCCCTTCCCTGGTTGCAATCCCGGCAGTGAAGAAACACTCGGTGATGTGGCAATAGCAGCCCAAACACCATCATCCTCCCAGTCTATGGCAGCGTTTGCCGAACCAGAAGATTTTCCATCCGATTTGCCTTTCTCACCTCCCTCCCTAGGAAGCTTGGGGCTCAGACACTTGGACTGGACATGTCCACGACCTCCACAATTCCAACACACCCCCTTTGGACGTTTTTCCCTCTCCTTTCCCTTTCCTTTGTTGCCACCATAACTGCCTGATGGGGCAGCAAGTGCAACACCGGTATCCTCCACTTGCGGCTTATTATCCCGGAAATTTTTCTTCCCCAGGCAGACCTGATCATACTCTTCAATAGCGAGTTGCATGATGTATGTAGGATCCAGGGATATTCCTTGGGCTGTGGCCAGCGAACCTGAAGTAATGGTGAAGGCTGCGGCAGCAGTATTTCCAGGAACAGTAGTAGCAGCAGCAGCACGAGCAGCATTGTTTGCGAAGAGAGCTGCTTTGGCGGCGGAAGTGACGGTGGAAAGGTAGCGTTGGTAGTAGTAGGGAAGTGATCCAATAATGCACATCGCATACTGGTTGTCTGTCAAGACCATGCCGACAGCACACAGTTCCTCGTATTTCATGCAAAGACTGGTGAGATGGGTGCGAACATTGCCGCTGTTAGGGCATTTCATGTTGTTGAAACGAGCTTGCATGTCAGCGATGATGTGGGTACTGAGGGCAGTGAATTTCTCAGTAAGTGCATTCCACATACACTCAACAGTGGGGTAACACAAAAGCTCAGTTGACGTTGAGTCTTCCAACTTCTGGACGAGGTAATGACGAGCCTCCTTCTCCTTCTTTTTCCACTCGACAACTTCAGCTGTGGCAGCAGCAGCAGTAGCAGCATCATCACCTTGTTGAGGGCCAGGAGGAGAAGGTTCAGAACCATCAAAATGGCCCCAAACACCTTTGGATTCGACAGCAATTTCGAAGCAGTAATGGAAGATGAGCCAGTTGGTACCTGACACATCAAGCTTCGGAACGTTCGACAGCACGGTAAAGTCAGCAGTGATAGTAGACATAGTGGGGGATGGAATTCAGAGTCAAAGTAGCAGCAATAGAGATCAGCAGCAGGGCAAGACACAGGGCCCAATGACCTGTTAGAGTGCGGATGTAGTTATCTATAACAATAGTAACTCAGACTTGCACTTGGGATACGAGAGAACATCTGAGGTGCATGTAGGTAGGTATGTTGGTATATGTAGCTACGGAGTCCGTTGTGGATACTGTATGTAACAAATAAAGAAAGAAACAGAAATACGTCCTTGGGTATAAGCGGGCCCGACTACGGGCGTACTTGCAGCTCCGACAATACCTTCATAAGTGTTCAATATATAGAAACCATCTGAACTTGAACATGACACTAGGTGCAACATGTGTTTATCACGTATGTGGTATCCCATTCTGTATGTAACCGTGTCAACTTTCAAGAAACATATACCTAACGGAGCTATCAGACTTCGGGATTGCAATCATATATTATGTCAAGGTTGCGTTCAAGGTTGGCTCAACAAGACCCTCGCCGATACCCTCGCCGTTCCCCATGACTATGGTTACAGGCTGGAATATTCCTGTCCCATGTGTTTCAAGCCCATGATGGAATCACCAGTGGACGTTCCCAAAATGAAATCTATTGCACAGATAGTCGCTGCTGCATATGGCGAGACTAGGCCAGAGGAAATGCCTGAAGGAACAAGGAACTAAGACTCAGCAGGAGACAATGATCCATGGATTTGTTTTTTTTAGTCCTACCCTATAAATATATCAATGAAACACATTTTGTCAGTTAGAGTGCATGACGACCGTATGACTACAAGCATATTGCCAAGTGCCTGATAAACCGATATCGACATTAGTAAATGTGTTATCGGAACCCAGAGGTGTGCAGAAGAGACAGACTTCAGCATTAGCAGTGTTTGGCCGCTTGCAACCACAGTATTATACCCTTCTTGATGACGTGGACTTTGTCTCACTATTACTTGAACCATCTACAGTAGCAGGCGTTGCTTTGGACCAGGAGTGTGATCTAAATGAGTTATTTGACAACTTGATCTTTGTCATCCAGAGTCATGTCTTTGTGGCATAGTTAACAGTTGAAGGATACCCGATGATAAGGGTGTCTGGTGCAGTTGGTTGCACATACATTTTGCGTTTGATGGGCACGAGGTTGCGGGTTCAATTCCCACTATGTCCTATTCATGCTTTGTTAGAAGTTTCGGGGCTGAGATTTGCCGTCAATTGATTTTACATGTTTCTGCAATGTGTAAGTTGCGACAGTTCAATGTTGGACCACGGATATCACGACGACGCTCTGTGTGCAATGCACTAGATTGGTTTTCCAGAGATCCTTTCCACACAGCTGGAACGGCATGATCGCTCTGTACTAGTACTCGTAATTTCACAATCAAGTTGGGCAAATTGTTTGTAGACTACATAGACAAGTCCATCCATCATGTGTACGTAAAGACGTGTATCGGTTGTATATCATTGAAAATAAAAATCAATGATCGGCAATAGCTGCCGCAACCACAAGTTTGGAGACCCAAAGTTGTGGGGAGTGGAGACCTTGCTTACTCAACAAGGTAATTCTCAGGGCACCAATGCTGCACCATTGCACATGGTAACAGCCAGTGTGGCGGCCGGGACATGCCGTGTTCAAGTCCACACATCGTTTGTCGGATCTTTGCAAATAATGCTCCCTATACTTAAGGACTGAACAAAGTATTCTTGCATCCACCTGCGTTGCAAGAAGAAAAAAAAATGTCAGCGGGAAGCCTGTACATCTCATGTGTCCTATACTCAAGTTAAAGTATAATGTACTTATCCATGATTAACCAGGGTCTTTTCTTGCGGTTGCTCCCCCTCATACTTCCAACTGAAAAGTCGCGACCCATATAAACTTCCACGGTCTTGCCAGGGACTTCTAAGTACCAACCAGCTGCTGGTATCATTAATCACCTGTTGTGTATCAAAACAGACATACAGTACTTTGTCGATGCCATCCAGGATCTCCAGGTTGCGATTCCTAATGTCGTGTCTACTTTCATTGAAGATATGAGGTACCTGTCATCCAACCAAAAATAAAAGTAAGCCGTTCCTGATATCATGTTTGAACCAGGTCTCTATGCCAGGGCAATCCTTCTCATCGGTCGCACCTGTGTTCTCATTGCCATCACCATTTCCGGCTCCACGACACAGTTAATCTGCATCTCTGTCATATCCCAGCCTGTCCTGACGATTGTTCGATTCCATGTGCATGTGTCAAGTCATCACAATCGTCAAGTCGAGATCAATACAATGATTTACTGCATATTCTAAATGAATTGCATGTTGCATACACCACTCTAAACCGGACGTTGGCTGAATACAAGAGATTGTTGACTCTGATTCACAGTTTACCTGAAGATGTACTCGGAGAAGTATTCCTCTCTGCGCAATCCGACAATGGCTATGATGTTCTTCATGTATCGGTGCCACCTTGGTCACTTGGTCATGGTTGCAGGCAGTGGAGGGACGTAGCGGTGTCATTTCCCTCACTATGGTCGTGCATGTTGATATGGGCTGAAGACAGTGTCAGCGACCCTCTGAGTCTGATGCAGACCGCATTGGCCAGGTCCTCACATCATCTTCTCACCGTCCATTTCCAATATTGGCCAAGTCACTCCTACTACTGCCCACACGCAAATGAAATGTTCACTCTGTTGACTGAACAAGCACACAGATGGGAAATATTATATTTCTCGATACCTCCTTCTGCTTATCATCTCCTTGCACCCATTCGGGGCCGCATTAACTGCCTTCAAACACTCCATCTCCAGCATCACCACAACATCCCTGCACGTTTGTCTGACCCACCTCCACTGACCAACATAGACGTCTTTGAATTGGCAGAGAATCTAGAAGCCGTATATTTGTTTAATTTGCTGCATGCATCATGCATCCTCCTTCCATGGTCTCGATTGGTGGACTTTGCTGATAGCAGAGAACATACCACAGCAGCAGCGGGTCTGAACCAGCATCTCCTGGACATGTTGGAGGTGGGCGTAAACCTGAAGATGATGGCTGTCATCCACCGGCCAATGCATAATGAATCCTTTCCTGTGAATGATGAGCATGTCATTAACACCTCACTGGAAGAGCTTCATGCGTGCGACGGCAATTTTCTTCGCAGTATTACGCTGCCCAACCTGCTCTCTGCATCGCTGGAGACCCAATTTGGTGATCGTGTGAGGTCCTCCTCATCCTTCTGTACCTCAAACATGCTACAAGGTTTGCATGATATGATCATTAGGACATGCTGTCCATTGCACTCCTTGTATCTGAGCAGCATAGTGCATGGTAACGGAGCTCCTCTACTTTCCATCCTCAAGATAGCGAACAGCTTGTCATACCTAGTCCTTAGACAGTATTACACACACTTCTCTATAACACCGGCTTTACACATGCTCTTCTCTCGCCTCGAGGATAGTACCGTCAATGTTAACAGAAAGCGCTACAGTGCTCTTTTAAGGAACTTGTCGGGTTTTGAGATTATTATAGACGGCATTTTCCGTACTCGGGAACTTGACTTCATTGGCGATTCATTAGTCAAAATGATAGCTGCGTGCTCAGATGGGCATGAACAGGGAGGGTTTAAATTGGTGATTCTCAAAGGAATTTGTGATAACACAAGCAGGATCAATGCTAGAGAAACGTTCAACTTATCGCACGATCATATTTACAGGCTGAAGAAATGGAAAGAACAAGGGTTGGACATTAAAGTTGGTGTATACAACGAGGATGGAGATGTTGTACATGTTTTGTTTTTTTAGAGTATCTGAAAGGTGTATGGGGAGCCATCAATTTTGAAATAGCCATGATGAGTACTTGGGATGGGAATGCTCAGATGGGTCCATATTCGGTGTATTTCACTGGTGGCTTTGCCAAAGTACAGCGAGGGTATCGATGTAGACACTCTTTCTTGATATTTCTTTATACGGTATACCGTTTGACTTAGCCGAAGTGAGCCATTGCGAGCACGGCAGGTACGAGTCCAAACTTCGACTGAGGCCAGTAGTGAGCAAGTGCACAGGAATAAGAATGTATGTTTTCTTTCCTTATGACTGCAGTACGTAACATGTGTGCACTCTTGTAAGGTATAGTAAGCTTGATTTTAGCTGTGCTTGATGCTCGAGATCCGCATTGGTTTACCTGACTGACGTATTCTTCTACAGCTATAGCATTAAGGCCAACAACACTCTACAGTGTTGGGGTGAGCTCATGAGAGAAAACAGAGGCCACCATTGTATTTGTCAGTGACAGGAACGGCGATGGGTGTCTGATGATGGTCATGCAGGATCTGACAAAATGGGAATGGGGGTCGTCATCGTCCCTGCATCCATGACAGTGTCTTGCCTAGCTTTGCCGTTTAACTGTTTGTCCATGGACGTGCAAGATGTCGAGTCCGCCAGTAAATACCCGCCACATATAACGGGACTCAAGATGGCATGAAATCGATCGAGAACAAAATAGTAGTGATCTTCCGACAGCTATTATTGTCGTTGATCAGCAGCCCAAAACAGTATATAAATACGGAAACCTTGGTTGGTCTGCCCTGATAGTCGCAGAACGTACAAAGCAAAAAACTGCATACCTCAAAAACAAGACAATGCCATACCCACACAGTCTTGCATTCATCAACACAATACATTTGGCATGTATGCCGACCAAGATTGACTTGACTTCTGAGATCTCATTGAGTGTCTCGGGAATGTTAATGATCCTTTGTGTGTGTCAGGAAATTCTCCCAATGTAGGCTTGTTAATTAAATAAACTTCCCTTTCATAATATGAGAGATTTGTGTCCGTTTGCAGCAGAAGACCTTGGTAACAGGTACATTTTCTATAATGGTTTGTATAGCTTCGTAAAGACATGAAGAATATCATTTTAAAAAAAAAGCCCACCGTTGTTGTAGGGGGGTGCAGCGGGGCATTGAGGGTACAGGCAGCCATGAGCATAGCATCGTCCACGGGGTGGCGTAGAGTACTACTCGGCTAGTGGGATGCAGAAGAGGTCACATGGCAGGTTTGACAGCAGTTTTATGGTGATGACAGGGTCAGAAGGAGAAATAAACCTCATCGCAGCATTACCTCTTGTAATAAATGGGGGTGGTGAGGTACTGGTCACGACGGCCCCGCTGTATGGGGCAACGGCAGCATCAGGGGAGGAGGAGACTTCGGATTTGCGATCCCCCACTAAAAGAATGGGAGATGCACAAATTTGAGGTGCATAGGCGAGCTAGGTGGCCTGGGATAGCTTGATATTGGACCGGATAGGGTGGGCAGCAGTGGGCGTCAGGGCAGTCGCATAGCCATGGTTCTTGGCATGTTCAGTGCACTATCCATTCGGCAATAAATGCCTAAAAAGGGCGCATTCACCGTCGTCATCGTCAGTTGTCGAGGTCCCGATCTTGGTCCCACCATCTTCCTCGACATCTCCTGCCCTCCTGTACATCCCCTACACAATCTCCTTACCAAGGAGTCCTCCCCCCAAGCATTCTCAAGGCCCAGCATCACAGAAAATTTGTCCCCTGTCCCATCGTTGTCGTTGATGTTCGCTCGTTCAGGTCCTGCGGTAGCAGATGGACACCGATATTGAATCCTGCGATGTACTCAAGATCTTGGAGGTCCACGGACCTCATATATGGGGGCGATTGGCACCAATATCGCTGCAAGAGGTGGTGGGTTGTAGGGCAGGGATTCAGACTGCATTTTGAGCTGCAGCGAGCATTGGTGTTACGATTTATTCATTTCTTTACCTAAGCGCCTCTTATCTTATCTAATCTTCAGCACTTATCTTATCTTATTCAGATCCACAACTCCACAGAGCCATGACACCGCGACGTAGTCACCATTGCTCACCTTGTGATATTTCTACTTCTTTCTTGCAACGGTGCACTTATTATTAGACCCCTGACTTTAGTATATAAGTACTGTAGCTCAAGCTGTATATTCCCTAGCTTTGAGCAAAAGTTAATCTATACCAAAACACATTCTCTCTCGCTAAGCATTAAAAACTTAGTCCAGACTTTCCTTTCATCACGAGACTCAACAGTGACTGTACGAACACGATACAGCCATTGTTTACTCTTGATTGGAAAATAGGGTCTAACAATTAGCTCAAAGCTTTTCTTAGCTCTCTAACCAGAGCACCCAT